TTATTTATTTATTTTGCTGCAGAGCTGAAGAGCTCCAGGTGCAGCATAGAAGGTACTACCAGGTGACGTAGCCTCCAGGCTGCATACCTCCCACATCTGCTTTACCAGACAATGTGATGATTTCATACTGCATCAGGACTGCTCTTACAATGAAATAAAACAAAAGTTGATCCCACTTTGAAAATATGAAATTCACATGGTATAGCACTCAGGCTCCTTGCTAGATGGAAAACAGAACAACAAAGAATCTAGATAGTTCTTATGTGAGTAAAAGCTAGATATAATTTTAGATCTCGTAGTAGTTTTTTGAAAAACTGATAGAAACCAAACTGGGTTGAAGTTTCTTTATTACTGCAGTATTGGAGAATACACTGACTTCTGAGAAGCCACGTAGCACACTGTCTGAGCTCTATGGTGTCTACTGAGAAAAAAGGAAGAAATCCGGCCCAGATTTGCAGGAGGAAAGAAAGAGAAATTAAAATTTGCAGCCTCTCTTCAAAATACATGTATACATTCGTCTCAACCTCCTCTTATCCTTAATAAATTGCATTGTTGCAACTATTAGGTTCATAGCTCCCTTTCTACCACACTTTCCTACAAAAGCCCAACATGCCAGAAAACTAGAAATCAACACTGGACCATTCTATAGCCCATACCAACTCTCCAAATTGAGTATAATAAACCCCAGGCTGCTTTGCACTGTTGATGTGACCCACCAGTCTTCCAGCCACTACCCTATCTCCTACAATTTGGGTGTAATAATGGTAGGTTTTCATCTCCAAATGTGAAAGTGGGGAAATAAAATATTGAAATAATACTTGAGTTAGAAATATTGCAAACTGCTCATCTTGTATTTAGAGACAGAATTGCTCAAGCACAGCTACATTATATTCCTATATTTCTGAAATATTTTTATTGGGCAATAATAACTTCCCACTAGAGCAGACAAAACAAGGTCATAAATTGAACTGAGAAGCTAGTTCTTCAAACACCAAGTGTGTCATTTGTTTCTGTGTGACCTTATTCATTGGATAGGAAGCACTGAAAAATACAAGGAGGTTAGGTAAAGATTCCCCTTGACAAATTGTCCAGTTGTGTCCGCCTCCGTGCTCATCCACGTTTCCAAGCCGTAGAGCCAGTGCTTGTCTGTAGACAGTTTCCGTGGTCACGTGGCCAGCGTGACTAGACACGGAACTCCGTTACCTTCCCATCGAGGTGGTACCTGTTTATCTACTCACATTTTTACATGCTTTCGAACGGCTAGGTTGGCAGGAGTGGGACAAGCGACGGGAACTCACTCCGTCATGTGGATTCGAACTGCTGATCTTGTGACCTTGCAGCCCAGAGGCTAAATGGATAGAACAATAGCTGCATAATTTGCCTATTACAAAGGTGCCCCCAGAAGAGGGAGAATAGCACCCTGCTTTTGAGTATTCTCAACCTAGAAAACCTGGAAAAGGTTGCCATAAGTTGGAATTGATTTGATGGCCCACAATTATTAAGAACTAAGGTGTTATGGCATTTTGGAGTGCTTTCTATGACTGATCACCTTTTGGATGGTCATCCTAGTTACTAATTTTTTCTCTCAAAATCAAAGAAAAACCAGATTTCTAAACTGTTTTGGGAAAAAATGTATATTTTGTATATTATGAAGCTTTTGAAACCTAGCCAAATTGCTAGGGGGTGAAGCCTAAAAAGTAAAAATAAAAAGCTTAACATTTTTAACATTGAATTAAGTAGCAGTATTTAAAATAAAATGTATTAGATTATCATTAATGTAATCTAATCAAATTATGAAAGTATGATGTAATTCTGAATCATTTCTTATAGATCAGTTACATTGTCTGATATCTGAAAGAGAAATAGATTTCTATTTCTATTTCACTGGAAATAGTACAGCTAATTTGATACTGTCCAGTCATTCATAAAGTGAGCAAGCCAATATTTCTTGTCACCAGAATTCTGGATTCCCCCCTTTTCTTTAAGTAGGTGACCTTAAACATCATAATGTAATAATTCTGAGCAATGTTAAAAGACACATCTTCTGCATTCTTGTGAAATTGGGGGGAGGGGGGGAGAACTACTTAAAATTGGTTTTGCTGCCAGTTTTAGGCAAGTCAGCAGCAACAAAAGATGGTTCCCCCCCCCAAAAAAAAAGAGAGGAATCCTGTGCATGCAGCAACAGTTTCAACTGTGAAAGGGAACAAGGGATAGAAAGGGGAGGGTGTCACATTTGGCTAATTTATTCCTCGCCCCCGCACCAGCTAATCACATGTAGCTAAATTTTAATGTTGTTTGCAGATTGGTACTTTGAATGGATGAAGCCGCTAAAGGCAATTGTGCCATGTGTGCTACCAAATGTTCTCTGATCATATGATATAACTACAGTACAGTATAGCCATTTTTACACTAAGGTGATCGTGCTGTGTAAGTAGATAACATGTAGTGTTGTACGGAACAGTATTCTTTCTGTTTGTTGATTTAAAAATGGAGTGTTGTCACTTAGCCAAAGGTGCTCTTCTCTTTTCACCATGGCAGCAGCATTCTGCCCAGAAAAAGAAAACAAGGAATTCTGTTAAAAGTCCAGGCTACCCAGCACAACAGTGCAGTATATATGGGAACACTTATGCTTAAGCTGTTGGGGAACCCTGGAGTTCTTGAAGTGAAGGGCGAAAGCTCTGAGGCAAGCGCACTAAAACCCATTAGTGTGCATTCACAGAGACCATGAAGAAGAAGCTACAGTTTTTGTCTCTATCATGGAGTTAGAGGGACAAAGAGTATGACTGCATGAGTTTCTATGTTATGGGAACTCCCCAATAAAAAACATGAGTTAACGTGGAGTGAACTAGTTTGCCTAAAAGACCACTTCCTCACCATGAGCCAGTCTCTCATGAAATGGGCAGCAAAGTAATTCAGTGGCCCTAAGGACCCATGATCTTTTTATCACTAGATGTGTAAAAATGTAACAGGTCTGAGCAGCTTTCTTTCTGATCATGTTCCAAACACTCTGCAACACATAGGGCACTGGCAGTACCAAAGATATATATGGGGGATTTGGGGTGAAGGGGGGAAAGTGTGCTTGAGGGAACTTTGTCTGATGTGTTAGATTTTGGAGACTAAAATAACACTATTGTTCATTAATGCGCCCATCATAAACATGTTTGATTGTATCCAGGCTCTGCTCACAAGAAGGTGCCACTATCCAATTTTTCCTAACATCACAGCTCACCTCATTCAGTTGGATGTCTTAATCCTCTGGGTAGCATTTAGGGAGTGTGGGCTCCTTTGAGGAGTAGGTGATGGGGAAATCACCTTTTAGAAGCCTAGTTGCTTACATCTGAATCTGCATCTACCCATATTCTTTATTGCAAATCCTGTTGATCTTAATAGTGATTACTCTGTTTATTTATCTATTTGTTTGTTTGTTTGTTTAATTTTTTATCATACCCAACTAGTAGTCAGGCTACTACTTTGGGCAGCTAATAAGGAGAATAACAGCAAGGACAAAAAGAACAAGAGAAAAAAGGTTCAAAAACATAACCAAAAGATCCACGGAAAGTGCAAAGAAATTAATGGCAGGTAGATGGTGAAGAGGGATACATAAGATTACTTAATCGGGGACAAACTGTAAAAAGTCTTGGGCCAACAACCAGGTCTTCACTTGCCTCTTAAAACCCAGGAGGGATGGTGCCAGTCCCACCTCTAGTGGGAGGCAGTTCAAAAGTGGAACGGCTACCACAGAGAAGGCCTGATTTCAAGTGACCAATTTCCAGGTCTCCCTCAGTGTAGCCACTTGGAGCCCCCCAATAAGAGAGGTACAGGTAGGAAGGGTAAATATTTTGAGGGTGAGGGGCTCAGCCAGTTAACAAGATCCTAAATCATTTAGGACTTTAAACATTAACAGAAGCACCTTGAACTTGTCCCAGAAGCAAACCAGCAGCCAGTGTAGACGGGCCAGGATTGGGGTTATATAGTCTTAAAGAGATGTTCCAGAGACCAGCCTGGTAGCAGAGTTCTGCACCAGTTGCAGCTTTCGAACTGCCTTCACAGGTGTTGCAAGAGTCTATTTTCAAGATTACAAGCACATGGACCAGCGTTATAAAGGACTGCCTGTCAGGATGGAGTGAAGGTGTGCAATCCACCTTAGCTGGTAAAAGGCAGATTTGGCCATGACTGAGATGTGGTTCTCCATTGAGAAGTCCAGGTCCAATAACATACCAAACTTTCACACCTGTTCCTTCAGGGGGAGTGTGACCCTATCAAGACCAGGCAAACTTCCCCAGGGTCTATCAAGGTCCCTCCCAGCAACAGAACCTCCATCTTATCAGGATTCAATATCAACCTTTCAGCCCTTGTTGTACTTTCACATGACCATGCTTCTTATCACAGCCTTTCAGTTGTTTAGGTATAATCTGTATTTTAAAAAATACCTATTTCCTTTGGGTCACCTCAGGGGTGTAGAAATTGGAAAGAGAAGTTCTTTGTTGGCCTCTCCACCCTCATGCATTTAGACATACATTCTACAGCAGATATTCAGGAAAGCTGGGTGAGCAAGCAGTGTGAAAACATGCCCTTAAAAATACAAATTTTGAAAACCACTGGTGTAGATTAAAATTATTTTTCTTTAGATGTATATAAAAAATGAATGCAGATGAATTAACCAGACTGAGAAGCCCAAACATCCTGTAACACATTCCTTCAATATGTTTATCCACTTTGTGCCTCCGTAAAAACAAGCTGACAAATAAAGTGAGCTCTGAAAGTGGCCTAATAATTCTGAGAATGCAAATGTATCCCATTTTATTCGCGTATAAAACTAACAGCTGCTCATGTTGTTTTTAAAGTTAATCTTGGTCCCCTTGAATGCTCTTAACCCCTTCTAGAATGCCACAGCCTCTTTATCTTGTTTCTCCTGCTGCGTTCCCACCAGCCCTCAAACCTGAGAGAGGCTCGAGGGTAGCTTTGGTTACAGCAACTTTCCTATTAGAGGAAGTGAATGTTGATCTTTTGTCTCTGTGGTACAGTAGTGATAAAGCTGTGGTGGTCTTATCTCTCTTTTAGGTAGTGGCTCTTTATGACTACACAGCGCATCGATCAGATGAGCTAACCTTCCATTCTAGTGACATTATCCAAGTGTTATACAAAGATAATGATAAATGGTGGTTTGGCAGCTTGGCGAATGGACAGCAAGGCTATTTTCCAGCCAGCTGTGTGGTTGGTGAAAGTACGTATAAAGCTTCTGCCTGGTATGTTATGAAAGCTTAACTGATTGCCAAAGATTTACCATTTGGTGCTTAAATGTATTTATATGTGCAGTACACGTGTTACATATCAAAATAACTGAAGTGAGATGAACTGTGTAAATAGCATGAAAATGCACCATATCGACCAATGAACAAAGACGCCACACACTGAGCCAGATATATTTGCATTATGTTTTTCACCTCAGCCTACCCCTGTCTCTTCTAGGTGACAGCAGGTTTTCAAGGTGGAGCATTTCTCAGACTTGCACTCTCTGATCTTTTCTGCAGAGATGCAGGCATTATATCTTCTGCTAGATATACAACTGATGATCTAGTTTAAAACATTGTTACAGGAGGGTGGAACTATTACTGGATGAAACAACAGATCATCAAAAGAAGACTGCTTTTATGTAGGCTATGTAGGGAGTAAAACAAGAAAAGCACTCTTAAGCCTAACAGATGTTTCACATGAAATACAATATACAATATTGTACTCTATGTATCTGAAGGAGTGGATTATAATCTGTGAAATCACGTGGTGAAATAAATATGTTAATCTCAAGGATGGTATGAGACTTTGTTGTTACTTTTAAATCCTTAGTTAGAAATGTGGACTTCACATAAAGCTTCTTAATATCACATATTTTATAATCTCTGGTCTTTGTCCAAGGTATTAGTCTGCTGTAATCTGATGCCTCAGTGTTGACATTGACTCAACTATTTGAGCACAATCCCTATACAGTCTACCAGTGTCTGTTCTCTTCCAAGTCACTGGGAGCAGTATCCACTGATGTTAGAATTAGTCTCCACACCAGAGGGCACCATATACAAATGTCCATCTATGAAGTGCCTATTTATGAATTATTTCCAGTAAGTCCTGTTGATATACCTCTAAATATCTTATATGTCAGGACTCACTTAACATTTGTAGCATGTTAAGACATGAGGTGAGCACATGGCTGAAAGCCAAAACAATTGGTTGTGTATCTACTCAAATTTTTGAAGATCCCATTTCAAATATTAGAATAAATTGCCTATTGTTCCTTTACATATCACCAAACTCATCTACATAAATGACCTTGGATTAGTTCAAAAATGAATACACTTCAGTTGCTGGAATGGATATATGGAACAACATTTCTTAAAGATTAATGAAATAAATGTTGAAGAAGTCCCCCCCTCCCAATTTTTGGATCAAATTAAGTAAGAGTCCTGAATGCCATTTTAAGCCCCCTTGTTTAATAATTTACTATTCATTTTCAGCACTATATGAAAAACAGTTGTCCCCAGGAGTAGCAGAAGATTCAGCTCCTTTTCTATCCAGTGAACTGGGAGAAGTAACATCACCAGCAATGCCGGAGGTAACAATCTGGAACAAAGGGACTGCTCCTTACTTATGCAAGATTAGATTGCATTTTCCATTGTGGTAACAAGTTGATTGCCAAGTGCTTCCAAAAATGTGCGGACTTGTTTAGATTTGACAATTCTCAAGCAGTGCAAGCTTGGAAGTTATTATAGCAGCAAAATGCTCTTCAAATATATGGGAAAACATTTCATAAGTTAGAGAAAAAGAGGAGAAAATTAACTGTAGCAATACTATTACAGATTATGTCATTTGAGAATTCAGTAAACATGTCCAGAAATGGTAATAATATGAAGACTCAAATGGGTTATTGTTCCGTCTGATCACAGGTCATTTGTTATATCTGTCAGTAATATTTGTTCGCTATTCAGACACTCCCATGAATACTGTGAATATTGTGGGACCTGAGAAATACCATGTTCACACTACCTGTTTATGCACAGAAATGTTTGTGTTTTCAAAAGCTGTTCTAACCCAGCTCAGCTATTGGGCTAGAAAGGAATAATGAAGCCTAATGAAGAGAAATATACATACATGCATATACAGAATAAAATAAAATTAATGAATTTTATTAATTTAGGTCTGTTGGTTACAATCTAAGGGATGCTTCTTAGCCTTTTGGCTAAGATCAAGTGTAGTATACAGAATAAAATAAAATTAAAGAATTTTATTAATTCAGGTCTGTTGGTTACAATCTAAGGGATGCTTTAACCTGTCTAGAAGAATCCTGTTGTGTGTATGTATTTAAAATATTTATACCCCATCTTTCTCCTCAATATATGATGCAAAGCAGCTTACAATATTAAACAATATTAAAAACTTTTTAAAAAACCCAGCAGTCTCATTTTTAGAAACGTTCTAGCAGCCAGTTATTGAGAAAAAATTTTCTGAAGAGAAAGATCTTTCCCTGTTTGCAAAAGGATAGCAAGGAGGAAGCCAACCTGATCTCCAGTGTGAGGGAGTTCCAGAGTTTAAGAGCAGTAATGGGAGAACCTGCTTGTAACCAAGTTGTTTAGGGCTTTATAGGTCAAAATTAGTACTTTGGATTGTGACCAGAAGAGACCAGCAGCCAGTGGAGCTGTTGCAATATGGGAGTCTCCGTTCCCTATAACCAGCTGTGGTTGGCAATCTGGCAGCAACATTCTGGACCGCCTGAAGTTTCCAAACACTTTCCAAAGGGTACTAGAAAGGTGACTAAGGTATTCGTGATGCCCTTCATAATAGTGGGTAACCAAAATCTTAACAGAAAAAGCCAAGTGGCTAAATTGCTGCAAAGAGCATTGTGACACTATGTAGCAATAGTTTTACTTTGACAGTTTGAACATCATAGTCTACCTACAGTTGTCTTTATGTTCCAATCAATCAAGTGGGGGCTAAATAAGAATAAAAGCGTAACGTTAAAAACCATGAAGCGTTCTTCTTGAAGGCTTGTGTCTTATCCCATGAAGTCTACTGAGTGAGGATCAACAATTTAGAGATTAAACTCCTTTGTCCAAAGTATTATCTCCATCCATATCAAGAAAAAAGCTACGCTGAAGGCTAAATGCAATTAATATGTACATTTTAAGAATGTAAATAACAGCTATAGGCAACCTGAACCAGTCTTTGAACCAAGGGGATGGGGAGGAGAAATCCAGCTGTTTTCTCTCCCATGATCCTCAGCAGTTGCAATTTCTATCTAGAGGGAAATTTTAAATGCTTCTGTCCTTTTAGTCTGTGAAGTTGCTCAGGCCTCCTTTGAACTACTTTTTATATAACAAAAACATCTGCACATTTATTGCAAATAGATATCAAGTATAGATTGGCTTCCAATGCACTTTCCTTTGAACCCTCAGATTTATCCCCTCACATACTTTTGTTCCAAATAAACGGAAGAATACATAGATGAACAAGGGATCTGTGAACTCATTAGAGTTAATGTTTCTTCCATAAAAAGGGAAGCTGGGTTGTTTTCAGTGGCTCAGGGGAGAGCAAAGATTGGAAGGATGGCATGGTCTATCTGGAGCTTCTGAGCCAACTGTGAGCTCAGAGTGAAGGAAGGTAGTCCTCCCTCCTCCTTCTCTGGCGGGCACCATGCCATGGAGTGGCATGAAAAATACAAGTTCACAGTGTTCATCAGAAAGAAGACTTAAATTACTTGCCTGATGGTATGGTCCTGATCCACAAAAGCTAACAGATTGTATGATGATCATTAAAGGGGTTGTAAAGGTATTGCCTACTCTTGCATTTAAACCACCAGGTTACCCTAGAAGTATATAACAGAGAGGGCCTGGCTCTTTTGAAACAGCCTGAGGCCAAATGCCCAATACAGCATGTAAAGAAGGAAACCGATGCTGTGTGATATTGAGAAGGGCAGTTCTGACTTGAATTATACAGTATTCTTCCCAGAACATTGATCTCTGGATTAGGAGAATTATGCCAGTGTATCATTCAAAGCTGCTTATATTAGTTAAAATTATATCGCAATAAAATCACCTCTGTATAACTGCAGACATACTATATTAGTGTACCTAACAATAGTAGACATTGAAGGGGAATTTTATGCTGGACCAAACTGAATTAGTTTTACATGATCATTACCAGGCAGTTTCTGAGATGGAGCACAGAACTGTCCCCACCATTTAGTCATTCACTTATTTTCTTTGAGTTAGAAGAAGAGAGACTAATTCAACTTAAAAAAAAAAGTATTCAGGTGTGTATGTGTTTAAAGGTTTTCCACAAAATTAGTTTCCTGCATCAAAAACAAAACAAAAAATAGAAAAAGGAAAAGTATGCTTAGAAATACATGTATTTGCTACATGTATTTTATGTATCGCTAAACATTAATATGTTACTTTTTGGGTATATTGTGTAGAAATTCATGGTGAACTCCCCATGTCCCACAGCATTTTTGGAACTTTAACCGTTTACGCCACCTCCTCATCACATGGCAAGTAAGGAGCATTTTGAAAGCTGGGGGAGTTTATGAAACCTGAAGGAGTTTGTGAACCTTATGCAAGGTCACATGAGCACCTGCTTTTTGAAGAAAACTTACAAATTCAAAAGCCCCTTAAGTTATTCCTATAACCGCTCTCGCTCTCTCTCTCTCTCTCTCTCTCTCTCTCTCTGGTTTTTGAACTATACATATGATTTGTTCAGAAAGTAAGATAAATTTTGATATCTAGTCAGAATCTTACAAATTACATAACCCACTGCAGCAAAGTGACGCTAACTAAGAAAATGGTTGTTGTGTTAGTAGGCATATGTCTGTTGTATGGTCAGGCATGTGCCTCACAATGTAACCCATATATATGGATGTGTGTGTATGTGTGTTGTGGAATCTTTGCTTTAAAATCAACAGTCAAGATTATTTTAGAGTTGTACCACTCCCAGCTCAGAAAATGTAAATTTATGTGAAAAGTGTATTCTCCATACATATCCTAGTTTGAAGATTTCCTGCTGTGATTTGAACCCAGATCTTCTAACTATAGCACTAAATTCACTCAGTCATACTTTCTTCTGATGGTAGATTGACCTAATGATTCTTTTCAACGGTGTAGCCACTCCCTTAGTTTGACTTGAAGAAAAAAAACCTAGCACATTGGTTAAAATTTTATGACCTGAAACTATTAATTTCCAAAAGCCTACCTGAATAAAAAAGTCTTGGACTGCTCCCAGAAGGACAGAAGAGCATGGGCAATCCTAGCCTCTTTTGGCAAGGCATGCCAAAGACTGAAAGTGGCCATGAAGGAGGTTCTGGGTATACATTGAGTTGTAGGACTAGGCCATAATGCCCCATAACTCATCTCATTAACAATTACACTGTGTTTGATTAATACCAGTTTGTATTTTCTGTAATTTTTATATGCAGATTTGCTTATTTCTTTAAAAAATGTTGACATCACGTATAATTAATATTTTTAAAGATTATACTGGCAAATCTTAAGTGTTGTTACTTCATCGTTGATAATATCTGAAAACAAATGTAATCTTGTTTATGACTCAGTCACAGATTCAGTGCTGTGTATTTTTTGTGTGTATTTGTGTGTATGCGCATGCGTGCTTCCAAACACACCTGAACATTTCAAGAGGTTTTTTTTTAAGCTGTAGAACTGTTTCCTCCTTTTTAACCACATAGGTTGAGAATTTCATGGGTGACAGATCTTCTATGTGAAGCGAGGTATATTCTCTCCTCATTCAGGAAGCCCGTGGGTTTTTCATCGTACACGTGTTGACCTCATTTTCTTTCTCTTTCCCCTCTTCTTTCTCCTTTATTGATTGAAGTTTCCCCCCTTTTTGCAGATGCCAGCAGCCATCAGCAAGTCAGAAGACCAAAGATTTGTTTCTGAGAATGACACAGGCTACCTGAACACACAGTAAGCGACCACAGAACAGCCAGTTCCCTCAGTTTAATTACTTCGAAGGAGCAAAAACTTTTTGTTATCTTAGTGCAACATTTCCGTAATAGCAAACTACCAATATAATCCAGAGTTGCGTAATACCTTTGCTAAGTGTATTTGGTATTAGGGCAGCATAGATGTGTGCAAACTTTTGAGTTTCCCAGAATTTTTCATCAGCCTAGATAATACAAACAGTTGGGATGTGAGAAGAAACAAAAAGTCCAAAAGTTAGGCCAGGTATTTGTGGCAATTGAGCCATGACTTCGGTATTTCACAGCAGACTACTGTGACGTGCTTTCTTATGCCTGCCCTTGAAAAGCATGTGGAAGATTGATGCAAAATGCAGCAGCAGTGCTACTAACTGATATGTGATACTGTGATCATACTGCTGCAGTACTAACAGATCTGCAACTGGTTGCCAGTTGTTCTTGTTTTGGGTTCAGATGAAGGTATTGGTTTTCACCTTTGAAATGCTCTTTGTGAACTCCTATGCGATTTCAGTATTCTGCTGCTCTGTTAGGTATATAGAACATGAGATACAATTGCAGGATATTCATTACAACAAGAAAAAGTCCAAACTGTACATTTAGGCAAGAGAATGTGGCCACTAGTTCATTAGATTATGGAGAACATTTTGTGAGAGGGGATTAAGGCATGTAATCCGCGAACCCTCAGAGTTCAGCATCCTACTCAATTATGAGTTTATTTCCTGAGCACCGATTTGCTACTACTTTAGTGATGGTGTGAGACCAAGAGCCTGTGGATTTCCATGACTGCACAGCCAAAATTCAGCTGCACTATCTGTAATTGGCCAATACATTGTGAACTCTGTCGTGCAATCTGTGTTGCATCTTTAGAGTCTTTATATCTTCCCTTGAAAATCAGGATGCTGTTTCTGTTCCTATCTGGGCTTCTGCTAAGAGCAGCTGGCAAAGTGTCAGAGGTTCCTAGTCAAAAGTGTGTCTCTACTTCCAGAGTATTGCTTTTGAGGATCATGTTTACTTCAGACACAGTTTTCCTGCTGATGTATTGATGTGCTCCAGAATCATAAAATCAATCCTTAGTCTCCTACTTAATTGAATTTAAAAACCGGCTGTGGGGGGAAAGCCCAGTTTTAAAATCTTTAATCCATCTTTTTCTTTACTTTCATCATAGAGGCGCAAAGAGGAAGACAAGGAAGAAAGGCATACAAACAGAGGAAAAGGAATACAAGGCAAATTTAATTACACTTGACAACTTCCCATCTAATGTTGCTGAGGACAATCCCAAGAAAAACTTGGTGATGAAGAAAAAGAAAAGGTCTGTCAAGACCACAAATGCAAGTGGAATGTCAAATGAGGCTTTCCAGTTAGACTCTTCTAATGCATAGCCTCTGTTTTTTCTTGGATTAATGGAAAAATATGGAAGTACTATTTGTCGTGGAATGATATTCTCACATTGTTGAGGACAGGAAACATAGAAACATAAATTAACCTTGGTAAGTAGATTATCACAATGTTAGGTCAAGGACCTGAAACAAGGAAGATGTACTGAATATTTCACAGAAACTTAAGACAATTTAAAGCACCAATTATGACCTCAGTGTTATGCTTTGTTTTTGTTTTTTGTTTTTTGAAAGCACCTGAAAATATCTAAAGCCTAATGGCATATCCAGTTTTTTCTTAGACCTGTTTCCATCCGTGAGATACAATAGAGGATAGCTCATTCAATGTTGAACTACAATTGTGGGTAAAGGCAATAGCATTGAACTTCAGCTGAATTATAACCTATGAATTAAAGGAAAACAATATTGCCTAGATGGATGTAATGTGCGTCCTACAAAACCTGATTTTGGTACAAATAAAGGAACGCAGTATTTTGTGTGACAATAATGAAGGAATTTCAGAACCGGAAAAAGAAGCTCAATATTTCCTTATTTGTTCTGCTACACATATACTTAAGAAATGAGTCCCACTTTTTTGCATTTGAAAATGAAAAAAGTTTATATTAAAAATGAATGTTCATATGAATAAATTTCAACCACCTTCACAAAGGACGCAAGCAATAACTTTTTCATATTTATTTATTAAATGAAAAAAATATATATTAATATA